CGGAAACGCAACACGTGGATGATCTGCAGGGGGGGATGCAATCCGGGAAGACTTTTAATAGGAAACTGGCTCCTATTTAGGTGGTACAAAAGTGAAGAAAACCCGAAAACACCACGTGGCCAGTCAGTTGGCCAGGCGTGAAACCATCCACGAGCAATGTTCAGTGATCTTATCTATTCGTCCACCGGTGAGCCCACAGATAATTAAAATTAATTAAATACTTTTATGAAAAATCCATTAACAGGTTTCCATTGGCGCTATTAAGGACGGCGAAGTTTTGCTATTTTGATCGATATTCTTATATAAAGAACAGTTATGAAATATTAATTAACATAAAAGTGATCGTAATTAAAGCGCCCCTATTTAACGCTGTCTAGTAGAGATTTAGCCATTCAAATGCAATCAGATTTAATTGTATTTCAGGACATACAGAAGACATTTCAATAATAAAAAAATTAGTATCACTTTTAACGCTTTGGATCTTAATCCGAGTGATTTTTGATTGTGATTTTTGGTTACTAAATTTGCAACATGTCGATTCTTTGAAATCCTCACATGCAAGGCTACCAAATTTGAAATATGGCATCGATCATCGAATCGACGCCATATTGCAAATTTGGTAGCCTTGCATGTGAGGATTACAAAGAATCAATCATGGTTGGCCGTTCAACACGCTGTTCATTAGTCTCCAGGTTTTACACCTTCAGAATGGGGACATAAAGATGCATCACCTGCATCGCTAAGGTCTTTGTATAGCATGGGTGTCTTAAATAAAATGTTCGTTTCTTGCAGCGTCAAAAGTGGCAAATTTAGGTACTAATTTTTTTTTTTTTTGCACAGAAATGTCTTCCGCATGTCACCATACCACCATACCAGATTCGGTTGCATTTGGACTGATAAATATCCCTCTAGACAGCGTTGTATTTAATTACAACCCCCTGTACATAACATCCAGCATAAATCTTTACTTATAACTTACACACCAACTAATTAATGTGTATAAAATCAATTGGAATTATTTTAATAACATCGAAACATTGTAATTTAAAATAAAATCAACAAATATAATCATGCAAAATTTAAAAATATTATAAGGATAATTTTTAAAACGCTATAAATATTATTTTAAATTAAAATAATAATAAATAATTGGACATGTTTTGAAATTACTATATACACTACACAATATTTTTTTTCTTCTTTCAGATTATTTATTTTTATTCGAGAAATACAACAATAATTTTGATATTACTAATTTGAAAATGCCAATGGGTTTCTTACAAAATTTTCTAAATAAAACATTATAAAAAGAGAAAAATTATTCAATTGTAAACTTTAATTTTAATTTAAAGTTATATTTACTCGTATATTGTTAAATATAATACTTCTTTATTATTCACAGAACAATTTGAATTCCATTGAGGATAACGACTTACTAAAGTAACTTTTAATATAAAGTCCTTCTACACGTGTAGAACGATATGATAATGAACGACCCTAAACACATAATCTCAAAGGAAAATGGTGGTTAAGAACAGGAAGGTAAAGTGAAGAATTATAATTATGTTATCAACGGCATACTTCAATCTTAGTTATCTTTAATGTAGATAAAAACGTTGCTGTTTATTATGCAATAAACAATTTCTAGTTGAAAATAATATATTAATCCATTTTGATTATTAAATATTAAATTATTTTAATCTATATTTGGTATACATGTTTATAATGCTGAAAATGATACGCAGACAAGAATTACTTAAACACGCAAGCAATGGTGCTTTACTCTTTATCTTAGTGCTTAATAGAATGTAAACAACAGTATTTTTGAATACAAATTCTATAATTTTCATGTAAATTTTCAATCATTAAAGTTATATATAAACATATAGATTTATAGTTTATTTGGAAGAAAACAGCCGTGCTAATAAGTGAAAAAAAAATGTAAATACTGATTTAAATTTGAGATGATTTTTTTAAAATTTAATTATAAAATCAATGTTTTTACTAACACAACTAGGTGAATAGAGAGACACTGGGCATTTCCGACGTCAATCTTTATTCGGGAATTAATCTTAAATATACTTTTGGAGCATTTATATATGATAGAATTTATTAACTTTAAAAAAAAATCTCAAAATTTTACAAATATATTTCTTGATTTTGTACTTTTATTGATTTGTGTTATCGGAATCTACTTATTATTTACCTTTAATAATTTTTTTCTAAACTATTTATCTCTAAATTTAAAATAAACTTTTAAATCATATTCAAATGAATTTGAAAAGAATATCTCTAATAATTTATTGTAATCATTTGTGCAAGTCATTATAACAAAGCAATTGATCAAAGCGCATATATCTAATTTTAAACACTAGATTTTCTTTATTTTGAATGGATAATATTGGTATAAAAGTCAGATATAAAATAAAGTTTAAGCATTTATCGTTATATTTATGTTATCAGAATTAAGTGAAACAGGAATCTATTATTATTACATCCTTTTAACATACTTCCCTGTGCTACATTCATTCAAATCAACATCCCAGAATATCTAAAGAGGCCTGCCTGATGAAGGAAAGTGTTATTAATCAAGGAAACTTTATTCTACTCACTTTATTTCTGCTCAGATTAGCATGGATTATTTTCAAATTTAGGAATTGTATGTTTACTCGTGAGTATGTTCGTTACAATTAAATTAAATATAAATTTTTTTATTCATATTATTTAAATAAATAAATTTATCTACTTAGTTTTAATTCCAATTTATAATCAATTAAGTTATATTTTAATTGTAATTAATAATTTTCAAACTCGATGTTAATTGTAAATTGCCTGAAGTAAATTATAATTAATGGACGAAAAGATTAATTATAATTTAAAAAAAAGAAACAAATTAATTGTTTCGTATAAATTATAATTGATATTAAAACAATTATAATTAATAACTTTTTATGTTTATTTTGAGTTATGAAATGAAATCTCTTTAAAAATCTAAAGAATTTAGTCACTTAAGAGAAATTATTTCTTGAATAAATAAATAAATAAATAATATATTAATAAACTTTTACTATTTCTGATTAGAATCTTTTATAACATAATAATTTAAATAAAAAAAGTGCATTAGATATTTTTTAATGATGTTATATTGATCATAAAAAAAAGATCAGTTGTACACACTTATTTATCTTGATACAATATAACATTTGTAACTCGATTACGTTTGCCAAATTATTAAAAAAAAAAAAAAAAAGTCTTTTATCGAATGAGATGTAATCTATAAGAAAATCGAAGAAAATTATATAGAGGACAACAATTTTTCTGTATAAAAATCTTACATGCTGCATTTATTCTCCTTTAACATTCCAAAGAGTAATGACCTGTATTTGAAATCATTATTTAGGAGGAAAAAAAAAGGTAAATTTTCTTTGTTTTTCCTAAAAGGAAAGAATAAATTTTATAACAAAGAAAAACTTCTTTTTGGAAAACTTCTCTAAATATACTTAAATTATTTATCACGTTAACTTGATATATCTAATCTTAAAATAAATCATTTTAACTCCTTGATTTATGTCAAGATACAGAAAAAAAATTTATAATAGAAAAATTGATTAATATTTTATTGTAAGATATGACTAATTTTCTATATTTTATTTTATTTTAAATTTTCCTTTAAATAATAACTAATTAATATTCATGAACTACAATGAATTGTTGATGTTATTTGAGTTAGTTGAACGACATCTTGAATTATCATCATATTTCTTTGAAAAATTTATATTTTATAGGTTAAATAATACATTTTCCTATAAATTTATAGGCATAATAATTATTTTATATCCAATAGAATAAGATATTTATTGTTTGGTCATTATTTTTTCATTGAATTTCTACAAGCCAATCATCTTCCACATCATTTAAATTGGAATAAGGAAATTTTGATTCGTACGAAGTTCAAAAGAAAAAAACATGCTATTACATTTTCTCCATCAAATTGATAATCATTTTGTTAGAAATACGAAGAATTTGTTATTTTAGGAGCACACTTCGAAGAAGATAGCAAATTTTCTTGTTGTTTTTTCATAACAATAAACAGGTAAGTAAGTATACATCGACTTAAATAAATAGGTTAGGTCTTACTTGATGAATGCATATACGTATATATAGGAAAAATGAAGGATAATGAAGTTTATTCTAATTTTTTATATAGATTAGAGACTCATTTATGACTTCCTCTTCGATTCTGAATGAGTTCGTGAAGTAAATTTAACACACGAATAGTTAAAGATAGAACTTTGTAGTCTGATGACAAATTTAACCACGCTCGTTCTTAAGAATCTTAACGTTATTTTTTTAATGTATTTTAAATTATGGATATTATATATTTTTTTCAATATAATTATTATAAAATAGTTTAATATAGTAGCAAATTAAATGCTAATTTTTATAACTGTAATAGAACTTCATATTTTTTGCAGGTATGTTAACGTTATATTTATTTGTTATCTTTATCAAATTTTCAATAATTTTTCTTATATATATTAAATAATTTAAAATATTTATGTAACTTATTTTCGGTTGAAGTAATAAGATTTGTTTAGAATGTAATTTAAATAATCATTTATTAATTTAGAGTACTTAATATTTGAATATTTAATCATATGCAATTAAGAAAATTTAAAAAAATAAGTAGGGAAGTTTATATAATCTAAATAAAATATATTTTATGTCATATTTATAAATGGCTTTTTATAAATAAACATTTTACATTAACTTATACTTTTTTTTTTAATTTATAAGTTTCATATATTTGTTAAATTAGTAGAATTAAATGCATATTTGATCCTGTTCGTTTCATTAATTAAATTTACTGATTACACGTTAAATTAAAAATGTTTTAATACACGAATTAAACATAAAATAAACAATATTTAATGTTAATATTATAAGGAATTAAACGTTAAATTATTAAAGAAATTAATTTAATATTTTACTAATAGCTCATGAAGTGCGACTGTGTAAATCGGATTCTATCGACGGGTTTTCGTCATTTGGGACATTTTATTGGATTGCATCCAGTATGGTTTATTGTAATACCGATATTATTAACAACATTCCTTGGATTAGGATTTATTCGTATGAAAATTGTGACAGATATAGAATATCTATACAGTCCTATAAATGGTAGAGCAACTCAGGAGAGAGATGCTGTTGAATCTTTGTTTCCTCCCGATCTCACTACAGATTATGACTTTTTGAGAGATACCAGATTAAGAAAGTGCGGAAATGTGATCTGCACCGCTAAAAATGGCGGAACTATGCTAAAATCGAGTATATTCGACGATATTATCGCATTAGATAAAGAAATAAGCAACATAAGTATCATTTGGAATAATACAATTTATACATATTCCGACTTATGTTGTAAATCCCATGGAAAGTGTTATGTAAATGGAATTTTAGCTCTCAGAGATATAGTAGATCGAGTCAGAGAAAATAAAATTAAACTAAGGTAAGATTATTTTTTAAAAATTTAAGATTTATATATGAAAAATCTACTTTTACTTCTTACTTCCGATAGATTTACTATGTTTTATGCTTGATATTGAAATAATATGATATTAATTTTGTAGCTTGGAGTAATAAAGACCGATACACTTGATATTATCCCTTATTTTTTCAAGTCACAGAATTATATTACAATATAAAAATGTACTTTACATATATCTGTAATTCCATATTTTAATATAATTAATATCATAGCACTTGCGTAGCATTAATTAAAATTATAGTGAAATGTAATTTAATATTAAAATACATATACAGTATTATATTCAAGTATGCTTATATACATGTGAATTATTCTAAACATCTTGCACGTATCGAGTGTTTTACAATTTTCTGTAATCTATAATTTTATCTAACATTAATTAATTATCTAACATATTTTATTTAGTGTGTTATACGTATTTTAATGATATTAAAGTACGTATAACACACTAAATAAAATATTAAATATGTGTTTTAAATAGAGCATTCTTAAATGACAAGAATTTGGCATACACCGTAACTGACTATGGAGCAAACTTAGGAGGAATAACAATGAAACAAGATGACTTTCTGGAAGATATTAAAGCTATCAGATTATTTTACCTATTGGATGACAGTACCGAACATAAGAAAATGCTAGCAGAATTATGGGAAAATGAATTTATTGATGTAGTTTCAAAGTTACATTATAAAACTATCGAAGTTTATCGATTTACAAGGAGTTCCTTCAACAGCGAATCCAGTCGAGTCACAGAAATGTCGTTTCCTCTTTTACTCGTATGTGTACCCGCTATGGTAATATTTGCCGTTGTGAATTGCATGACCATAGATTGGATCACCAGCAAACCATGGATTGGAGTCGCAGGATGCTTAAATTCTGGTTTCGCAATCGTTGCATCATTTGGTTTCTTAATATGGTGCGGATTAGAATATCTTGATCTGAATATATCTATCACATTTTTAATTATAGGTAAGTCTTAAGATTTAAAAAAAATGATAAAATATACAAAACAATTAATTATTAAATTTGTTAAAAATAAAGGTGTAGGACTAGATGACTCCTTTGTTATCCTTGCTGCCTGGAGGAGAACAGATCCAAAGAAGAGTGTACCGGAAAGACTCGCTGAAACATATTCCGAAGCTGCCATATCCATCACAATCACATCAGTAACAAACATAATCTCATTTTGTGCTGGAATGTTAACACCATACAGGATTGTAAATATCTTCTCCATTTATATGGCTGTTAGTGTGCTTTTTGATTTCCTTTTCCAAATCACTTTCTTCGGCGGATGCATGGCAATCAGCGGTTATCGTGAAAGTAGAAAACTTCATGCCGTATTTTGCATGGCTATAAAACCCGATATGAGATCTAGTAAGTAAACTATTTTACTCTCAATTTGTTAATAAAAATTTAATATATTTATTTATTTATTATATAATAATTTAAAATGTATATCAAATTACATATAGATGTTCAGAAGATTTATATTTATTTAAATTTTTTTAACGCAGGAAGCTACATATATCGTTTACTTACTTATGGAATCATACACGAGAGCAATAAAAACTGCGAAGAGAATTCTGGAAATCTGCTTATGTTATTTTACAGAGATATATTAGGCAAATTTCTCTGTTTGAAGTGGATAAAAGCTTTAATACTTGCATTTTTCTTCGTTTATATATGTGGAGCCGTATATTCTTTCAGATGGATACAAGAAGGATTAAGATATCAAGATGTATTACCTCATAACTCTTTTGGAATGAAATATTCAATACAACATTATAAATACTTTACACAATACCCTCAGCGGATACAAGTAATCATCAACAACACTTTAGATTATTCCGATCCAAAAGTGCAACAAGAATTGAAAGAATTCATCCATGAGTTTGAAGAGATTCCGTTAGTGGTAGGAGGATTATTTACAGAATTCTGGTTAAAATATTATTTAAAATTTCTTAAAGATAAACGCTATTGGTTTTCTCATGCCGGTTACAATATGAGCGATCCTGATGATTTTATCGATTGTCTTCGTGACGTTTTCCTAAAATTTCCATGGGCTCAAAATTTAAAGAAAGACATATTGTTTAGTAAGGACGGTAAGAAGATTATTGCAACGCGATTTCTTCTAGGAAGTCAAAATGTAGTAGATACAAATGCAGAAAAGGAATTGTTACAAAGTTTATGGAAAGTTACAGATTCTTTCAAGTACAAATCTTACGTTCATCAATTTTGGTTTATAATATTTAATCAACATATCGACATCAAAGATACGACCATACAGACTCTTTGCATTGCTGCAGTTTTGGTGACTTTAGTTTTTACGTTGTTCTTACCAAACATACCTTGCGTGTTGTGCATCGCATTTACTATTGTTTCCATAGAAATTGGATTGGTTGGTTACATGTCAGCTTGGAACGTACACATAGACGATATATCTATGATAGTTCTTATCATGTCTACGGGATTTTGTGTAGATTATGCATCACACATATCATATGCATATGTAAGTTGTGCAAGTGAGGATGTTAACATAAAACTAAGAAGTGCTCTTTATGCTGCTGGTCATCCGATTGTACAGGGTTGTATCTCGAGTATATTAGGGACTTTAGTATTTTATTTCGGCGCTTCTAATGTTTTCATTGTATTTTTAAAAATTGTTTTTCTAGTGATGTCCTTTGCACTTTTTCACGGTTTGTTTTTCTTACCAGTTATATTGAGTATTTGGGATAGTGTCTACTATAAAATAAAACGTAACAATGATAACAACAACGAAAATATTATCTGCGAAAATTTTATTTTTGTTAAGAAAAATAGAAAACGGAAGGAAGAGAATTTTGATAAATTTGAAACAATTTTAGAAAGTAATTAAATATACTTTGTTTTATAATTAGTTATTTTAAAAATGCTTTTACAGAAGGTATGAGGCTTATTAATATAAGAATCACTATCAACAATAAGGGGTTATCATAAAAAGTTAACGTATCTTCGTATGTAAATCACGTATTATGGAGTATTATGTAAAATTTAATAAATAATTTACAATAAAGAAATTTGTTTAGAACATTTTACATTTATCTTGTATTAAAATTTATTATAATTTAACAATAAGTTCCGGTTATAATTTTATTAACGCATTAAATTACATGTCATCTTTACAAAAAAAAAGGTTTTATAACACAGAATGCATTGTCTCATTTTAAATTTTAAAGTATTTTTTTCTAAACATACAAAAAAAGTAGATCAATTATACATTTGACCAGTTAAATATATAGAGGATGAATGTTATGTAGTATACGTTTAAAACAATTTATATATATAGAAATGATAAGACGATTGTACGATACGTAAATATCTAATAATTGAGGTTGGACATTTATCTTTCCTACTAGTGAAAGTTCCTTCCATATTTGAATTTAGTGAGTTCACGACATCAGTCATGAAGCTATTTTCCGTGTAACTTGTACAGTTCACAAAAAAACGTGTTTAAAAGGAAACCCCACGGTTATTGTGCTAAATTTTCTTTTTTGGTAATTATTAACCGGTGCAAAGATTAACTTCGAATACTTAAATCCTTCATAAATATCCTTACTTACATATAAATAATACAAAGGCAACATTTAAAATAGTCTATTGCACAGTCTACATAAAAAAAAATATATATATATTATTTTTAGATTTTGAGGCTATAGTTGGAAATTATTATCAATGAAAAAGTTATAAAATAAATAACAATTTAAGTAATATATCATACATTTTATAATAATATAATTTTTAAAAGAAATAATATAAATTACTGATAATTATTGAAGAATATATAGGTCATTAATAATTGGCTATTAAACTTAACTAAATTTAGCTCCATTTTATTTGTTATCTCATATAAAATGCATTTAAAAATACATTTATTTATTTTTTTTATGATATACTTTAAAGCTTATCAGCATCACATCGAAATTTATTTATCAGTATACCACTTAACCAACTGTCACATTGTACAACACTTATAATATAATTTATATACACTTATAAATGTTGCACAATGTAATTTAAATTGGTTACAAAACCCATAGCCTAGAGGTTTTAGAGTGCATTTAGAAGTAAAATCATTTTCCTACATAGCTTAAGGCTTTTTTTTAATGATTTATATTAAAAATTTAGAGAATAATTACAAACGCGAAAAATATTAAAAATACACTTTATTATTAGAACAAATATTTTCATCATACACTTTTATTATAAATATATATTATGGATATTTTCTTATACATTTTTAACATAAAAATTACAATATTTGAATTTTTACATTTATTATAACCTATAAAACATATTTAAAGAATTTAACATATATAAATAGGAAGATATATGATTCTATTCGTGAAGAACACGCATTTTTAACTTTCAAGATACAATTATTTTATATTCATTTTAATCCAATAGATACCGGGTCACGATATAATAGCGCTATGTCTTAATCTTTATATTAAAAGATTTGTTTAATTGTTCATTTTAAGTGTTATTGTTTATAAATCGCCACATTAATACAGAATAATTTTTCGGTAGCGTTCAAAAATATATACTGAACAGAACAATACAGAAAACTAGAATATGAATGTAGAAATTTATTTTGCTAAAATGCTAATAGTAATACTGTAATTTCTAACTGAGATAGTTCACTTGTATTCCTTTTTTATTTCAATAATTAAGAATTATGAATAAAATATTCTTCAACATAATGAAAAAATTAATGAAGATTGTTCTTAAACTAACATTAAAACAGTGAATATTGTAGTAAATACAATGATTATTGAGTTAATAATTACACTGTTCTACAAATTTTGACGTATATTGTGTTACAGTAATAATATATATCTTATAAATTTTGATCTCCTGAACACGAATATACACTTCATTTGTTGATATTGGCTCTCGTTTTCGAGAAAACATTTCATTATTTCCAATAACGTAATTTACTTATGAATTAGACTTATTAGAGGATAAGAATGGTGGCTGTTCACTTTCAATGACATGTAACCAACTTTTCAAATGGTATTAGAAGTTCCTTCACGAGCTATATTCTCTAACATTTTCCAAAAAAATAAAAGTAATAATAATAATAATAAAAGAATATAGCAACATACTAGTTGAAACACATTCCATACTCTTTTCCATCTGAACTTAATTAGATCTAGATTGTTTAAAATTTGTCATATAGGAATGAAAATGGTGGTCCCTCTTTGTCCTCTTCTTTGCAAAATTTTTAATAAGATTCGATTTAATAAGCCACGGTGAAAGAAGTATATTATACGGATCCATGAATGGCTGGATGATAACGTTTTTCGCACCAGATGGGTATTAGATACGGGCAATTTTTCTTGTGATAAAAATACCTGACACAGATATCTTACTCGTATAGATTGGTTTTAATAGGATACGGAAATGCCATACATGGTGAATGCCTCCCGGGAGGACTTTCGATAGAAAACTAGTCCCTATTTATGTGTTAGATACACGAAGAAAATTCGGAAAATTTCACATGGTGAGACACGAATACCACGATTAACTAGCAGTGATTAGAGATGTTATCCATTCCACCATTGGTATGCATCCATTCACATAGAAGACAAAAGAACTTTGCATAGGAAATCAAAGACAAAATCTGGATTTGATATATATAAAAATTCGAAATGCTAGACATTCATCAATGTTGCCATATATACAGTCGACCCCCATAACACTGTTGATTATTCCGTTTAATATGAATTTCATGATTTTACAAAACTTAGATTTTACAAATACGTGTGCCGGGCTGTGAACGGCTCACGTATTTGTAAAATCTAACTGACTCGTACAACATGGAATTCATATAAAACGGAATTATCAACAGTGTTATAGGGAGCATTGACTGTACTCAACCGCAGTTGCTCATTCCAATATGACATTCCTTCTGTTAAGACAAAACGAAAACAAATCAAACTTTTTAAATGTCATTTTCGTGTTCATCGCTTCCAAATTAGTAAAGATTGAGTGTTTTCATTTCTGTAACTAAACGTGTTATCTAAGGTACTTGATTTGTTTTATTTGTAAAAGAAACTTGTTTCGTTAGCCGGAAATTTGAGTTTATTCTGTTTTCCTCATTAACAATTTTACTTTAAGGAAAATATCATTGTGACCTTTAAATAAAAAACGTGATCTCATGGCATATCACGTTCTTTGACTATTTACATACTCGTAAATTGCATAGAAGCAATATTATTTTTAAAATATTTTGATATATATAGCCTATATATTTGATTTTTGGCATTCTACGTTTATTCATTCAATTATGTATACAAATATTTATAGTAAAAAGTTTAATATTGCAAATTTAATATTAGTAATACTTGATTAGAAATAAAAATATGATGATAATATTAAACCTTAAAGTCGATATGTATTGAGTACAAAAAAATCATTGATTTAAAACATGATTTAATCATATCTCTTTTTAAAATCAGTTTTTAATGATAAAAAAAGATATTTTGTAGGAACTAACTTCAAAGTAATTAATTATATAAGAAAAATGTAAACAGAACTAATCTGGTAACATGTATTAATGTATTTTTGTTCTTTATCATATGTTTCCGCATCAAATATTTTTGATTAAATACAGTTTTTATAGGGGAAAAAACAAATTAATTTATTTATAAATNTAATATATACATATATATTTATTTAAAATTAAGAGAAATACAGAGGTATAAAGAAGTGACATGAGCGATGAGGAGAATGGGATGGAGAGCCATTCTTCTTGACAACTATCTATATTAGCTGTAGGCAGCAGACGACAAAATCAGCCTCCACCTCCCACTCTAGATAATACTTTGCTTATGTAATTAAACATATACAAATCATATATAATTATTTATGTTTATAACGTATTAAAGCAATTAGGAGGAAATTATTTTAATCATTATTCAATTATAAAGACACTTTTATATTATTCTTCTATATTTTATCGTACTAAAAGTTTGCCATGTGTATCTATCATAACAGTGTCATCATCCTTATCCCATATTCGTGAGTGCAGTTACCCATTATCTATCTAAATAGACACGTGGAATAATATAAAGAGGAAAATTACATTTTAAATAACACGAATCAATTGTTCAGCAACTAAATTTATTCGATTTTCAAGATACGAATGAGATACAATCTCACTTTTCGGTTGCGGAAGGAAAGATAATTAAAAATATATTTTTATAATGAAACTACGTACAATAGCAAAAACAATACAAAAAGTAATATTTTAATAAATTTTAAAATTAATTTTAAAATACAAACTGAAACAACAGAAGGAAGAGTTAAACTTTGTTATAAAAAATAATATCTCTTATATTAAATATTTTAAATTATAATTATTTTACTGCAAATATTAATTACTTTTACATTTTTGTTTTTAAAACTGCGTTTTATTTCTATTTTATTCCATTTATTCCTTATTTTTTAACAAAAATAATAAATTTGTGAAAATAAAATTTATATAGATGTGTATAATTTTAGCTACCAATTTTCTTATATCTTTGTCTGTCACGCTCTATATCTAAATATTTCGTTTATCAAATAGAATTAGATTAAAAGGTTGTTTTATTACTAAATATGAGGTCAATAGAACTATCTACACGTTTCTCCACTAATTGGAAAAAAACATTGTTTAAAGGCAGAGACCACATTCTGCATTTAATTAAGAGTTCACGTCGACCTAAACAATAGAAATATTTGAGGAAACTATTACCTAAATTAATAACAAAAATATATTAAAAATAACGTGACAGATACACGATAATTACGAAAACACACGTAATATTTACTCCAAAAATAAATGAATAAAAAATGAAGGTTAACAGACCAAAAAATGAAAAAATAGTGGAATAAGTAAATCAAAACATCACAGGGAAGTTGGATTGCATCGCAATTAATCCTAGAGTAATATTTAAAAGTTTTATCATATTTAAACGCTAGTGGTTTAATTTAAATACGTTTAAAGCAAAAATTTGTCAATAAATAGAGAATAATCTAGTGTTTTAATAATTGTATTGGATTGCTATGACAAGGCAACGCAACACTTGGGTGATCTACCAAGAGGTTGTCTCATGGAAGGACTTTCTATGAGTAACTAGTTCCTATCCAGATGCTAGATATAGGAAGAAAACCCGGAAACTGCAGACGGGCAGCCTGTTGATACACCAGTGGTCCACCTGTGTTGATCAGGTATGAACCCACCAGCAACTATCAGTATGTCATACCAGTGGTCCACCGTAGTCAAATGGTTGTATCCATTTGACTACGGTGGACCACTGGTAGTGATATACTGATAGTTGCTGGTGTGTTCGTACCCGATCAATACTAGTGGACCACTGGTGTATTAACGAACTTAAGACGTTAGCTTTAATAACGCTATAAATGACAAGCATATAACTAGAAAAAATGGTGATTATTTTTGATAGCGATATCAATGGCATCAAATAATTTATTATTAAAAACTGCTGTTATTCATAGTGGGATTGATACAAAAGATTTTAATTTTAAATTATGCATGAATATTCTTCATTTAGATGTTCGAAAACTTCAATTTCTAATTGTTAATTTTTTTTAATGTTTAAAATAATTAACAAAACGAACAGCAACAAACAAAAGAAATACAAAACTTATTTCATTAGCAACGAAATAAAAAACGAAAAACAACAATAAATTTAAGAAATAACAAACAAAATTTATTCAACTAAATAAAAATAACAAACAATACTTTTAAAAATGCAGTTGAGATATAATTAAAATTATTGTGAAAAAATGGGAAAAAAAGAGAGTTTAGATATAATCTTTGTTCTATTTCCTTAATAATGAAGCAAAAATTCAAATTTGAAACAACGAGTAAGAAAGAACTCGGAAAAATCTTTCTTAATTTATCAAATAAATAAAATAATTGTTCAGTTAAAAAATCGCTTTATAATTAAGATAAATATTCTATTATATTTAGCATAATTTCATTTAATAAATTTCTTTTTAGTTATAATTTATTATGTATAATTTAAAAACATTTATTCGGATGAATAATTTGCTCATTCACGTTTTGTAGTCTAGTAGTTAAGATGGAAAAATTTTCAAAGCCAATTTTCAAATATTTGATAATTACGAATGATCTTTCGACATCTCTTTGGAAGCATTTAATCGATTAATTAACTCAAGATAAGTTATTAGTAGCCTACGTAAAGACTACGCGGCAGGCCATTTAATAACAACTGCCTTAAATAGGTCAATAATAAATGTTATTTCATTTTTCTCTCGATTAAGATAAGCACAAGTCTACATAAACTATTTTTTTATATATAAATTCAAATACTAATAAAAGACCTCCTTACAGCCTAATACACGAGTCGTGAACATGTACTGGGAAGAGCTGATGTACGACTCTTCCTATTTACAATCCCGCCAAAGATGTCGAGGACCAGCTCCATTCGATTTTTTACTCCTCAGGAGCAAAGCTACTAGAAGGGGAGTTGAGTGGCGTCTCACACCCGCAACGTCGGCAAATTTAGCTGAATAATAGGCAAAGTCATGCCACCAAAAAATACATAATATATACATATATATTTATTTAAAATTAAGAGAAATACAGAGGTATAAAGAAGTGACATGAGCGATGAGGAGAATGGGATGGAGAGCCATTCTTCTTGGCAACTATCTATATTAGCTGTAGGCAGCAGACGACAAAATCAGCCTCCACCTCCCACTCTTCAATGATTAATGTCTAAATACGACACTTCCAGATAACCTTTAGAAAAGAAGTGGACTCTGCGACTACTGTTTTGTCCTTTTCGCAGTTCATCGCCTTCTCCCTGGACCACCACAGATCGCATTTTGGCACTTGCGTAAATAAAAAAAATAAAAGAAATAGAAATAGGTGTATTATTTATGGAAGTCTACACAATGCAATAAAATTTATAATTAGTTATTCAAAAATATCTTTACAACGATTCTTTATAATATTTTTTAATTATATTTTTAATTAATATATATTATAATTAACAAAGTTTATAATAATATTGCATTATATAATATAATACAACATAATAATAATAATAATATCAAATATATTAATGAATCTTTTGTATATAATTTTTCTGTATAACTCATAAAATTTTCATAATTCTAAACCTATAACATAATATATTTTAATAAAAAATTACGATTAATTTTATATTAATCTGTCTAACAAATTAAAGTAATTTACGAAAAGTAATAAATAATAACAAAAAAACTTTTAAGTATACAGAAATAATAAATTGTTTATGATTTATTATTTCCATGTACAAGTCTACCCCCCTATAACACTGTTGATTATTCCGTTTTATATGAATTTCATGTTGTACGAGTCACTTAGATTTTACAAATACGTGTACCGGGTTGTGAACTGCTCCCGTATTTGTAAAATTAAGTGACTCATACAACATGGAATTCATATAAAACGGAATAATTAACAGTGTTATAGGGAGGGTCGACTGTACTTGCGTATTACTAATTGTTTACCAAATATTAGAAAATCGTTTTTCATTTACTTTTGTGTAAAATAACTTAAGATTTTAAATAATAATAAAATAAATTATAATTTTAATTTTTATATCATAATGTGACAATTAAAACGATTCAAATACTTCAAAATAAAATTTAAATTAAGGAATAAATAATAATAATAATAATAAAGTATACGTTGAACATTTCTGGCACTTAAATATTTTATAAAATCGTATAAATGATATTGTATTAATTAAATTTACAAATAGGAATATTGTTTTAAGTATGTATATAAATTTAACAATGTTACACGTGTCGAGATCGTGCTTAACAAGACTGTTTCGAAACTTCATTTTCACTAAACTAGCAACATATATTTAAAAAAAAGAAAAAAAAACTAATAACAAAATGTTCATTTTTGTATGAGGTGAGATATTTTATTTTAATACTTTAAAACATTTTACTTTTATATAATGTATAAATTATTATTGTCAGATTGATCTAGATCTCTTTAAAACAACGACATATCTATTGTTTTATCTACTGGAACAGCGATGTAAATCTAAAAACTTATAAAATTAGATTCTAAAGCTATTAAAAATGTTATCTTGTTTCTTTTTAAAGTATCACAAACAGGATATGTTGTGAGTTACATTAATCTTTAGATTAATTCATGCCTATAACCCTGATATGAATTAATCTAATACAGATTATCTTATAGAATATTTCGTAGAAAAATTTAAAAAAATGATAATAAAATTTTAGTATAATTTAATTTAATTTTTAAAATTATTCTATTTTATAAAATTGATTAAAATAATAAATGTAAGATTTAAATAAGTAATTGTGAATTTTATTAGAAATAATGGTATTTAAAAATTATAAAAATATAAATTAATAAATAATTCAGTTAGATAATAATATACATATATATTACATAAATATATATGTATATTATTATAAAAATATATAATATTTTTCCTAATTATTTTATCAAATAAGATGAACTTAGCTAACTAAATAATTTATTTATTTTTAATTAAATCATTGATATAAATCAAATATGAGGAAGCATTAACGTTAGATTTTATCCAGAAATGTGAAAAAATAAACGAAAAAAATTATTTAAATCAATTTTGAATTATGATTTTTGTTCTGTTAGAAAGAATATATTTGTAGGCCTACATAGATATAAACTTTATGTTCGATAAAATCGCAAATCATTTGATTTATTGTTTTTTCCTTTAAAACAATAATTATCTTATAAATATTTTAATAGAAACTATACGTTCTCGGTCATGTCAGTATATTATTGAAATTTATATTTCCTTATTTCTGAGTTTGAAATATTTATATATTTTCCTTATTGTTCTTTTAAAATTCTTCATCCACATCACAGTTTCTTGACATTTAGCTATATAATTAAATATATTATTTTAATTAAGATCTAAAGATGTTTAAAATTATTTTTAACGTGATAAAATATAGTTGAATAGGATGTTAATATCGAATATTTATTCTTAATTAAAGCTCCCTAATAGCTTTAAAAATGAAAATATTTTAAAATTTTATTCTGAATGAGTAAATATAAATTCGTCAAATGTTTTTTTATCGTATAATAGTAGCTTATTGATCATAATCTTTAAAACTGTGTACTCTATATATCAAACAACGAGTTATTATTATGTGATAACGGTATTATAATTTTTGTTTTATAAATAAATAAGCACGAAGAAGATATAATCATTTGAATAAATTCAAATAACTCGAGGACATAACACAGTTGGGATAATGTACTTGATTTAGTACAATAAAATTGTACTTTTATTGTGTTAAATCAAAAATTATTCTATTTTTCCTTCTGTTTATGACTATTTCTTAGAACTTCTTACACAATTTACTTCTTCTATGATTTATATCATCAAAGTTTTATGAATAAATCTTTTATTTATGTTTATAATATTCTACTATTTTCTAAAACAATAGTACATTCTACTAATATCGTATTCTTTCATAGCTTATTTTTTTCATTTTATTCACATGAATGACTTATCTCCTACATCCATTCAATTTTTAGATAAAAATTGTAGAAATATGTTAAAATTTATTATATTTATAGTTAACATAGACAATAATATTTATTTATTACTATAGATAATTTAGATGTAGGCAAGATAATGAATTTTAAAACTCTGTTATACAGAAATGGCATATCTGATAGGAAAAAAGTTCTATTACATGATTCTTTTCCATTGCAGTTATTATTCAGAAATCGCTGAAATATTTTTAAGAAATTTAGATATATTCACACATTGAACTTTCGTATGTCCAAGAAATCGTGAAACTTCTTGAAGAGATTCGAGAAGAAAAATTTACCTCCACAAGAAATTTTGTTTAGTAAACAACTTAAGATAAAAATTACAAGTTTAACAATTACAAACATATTATCGAAACAAATGGATATAAATTAGTTTCCATTTAAGTAAAATTCACACTAATTTTTAAAATTTTAAAGTTTTTGAGTTATTTTATGAATTAATTTTTAAATTTATCGTTTATATTGAAAAGTTTGCCAGACAAATGTAACAAATAAAAGAAACTGTAATAGCTGAACATTAACTAAAAGAGAGTAACCGAAAATTTTTATTATAAAAATAATAATATATGTAGAATTTCCAGCTATTTTTTATCATCAAAATATTAATAATAAATTTCTTATAAAGTTTCTTTAGATTTAGAAAAAAAAACTCGCAAACTCGCATTATACAGTCGACTTTGCTTAAGAGAGCACTCTCACACGTCCTCCATTTTCTCTCCTATGTTTTACATTAGCGGAACTTCAGTTAACAGGATAGTAGATCAGTCAGCATAAAGGAGCAATAATTTCAGGTTTATACGGTACATCACACCCAGAGCTTTTTACGTTATAATATATTTTATGTGGAGATTTGATTCGTCAGTTTTCTAATACACGGACAGTCAAAAGATTTCTTACAAAAGCACAATGAGCAGGTTTTATTGACACACGTATGAAAAGCAATTACATATTAAAAATATATAGAAAATATGAACGAACAGTACAAATCACATGTACATTACTGTACTTACTCATCTGGAGTGAACGAAGCAAGAAGTAATTAGCGACTAGATTTCGGAGGTCACACGACTTACCTTAAGACAGTACTGTAATTATTTGTGTTTATACTGCGTGTTCTATTAGAGAGAATTCAGAAATTTTGACGTAAGAATTTATACATTATTTCAGCTAGGCCTCCTATTTCATTTCTAGAAAGTAAAAGTAAAGTGACTAGTAAATATACAGAGTTTACTGATTATTCGATAGAACAATATAATTGATAATTATGTACTGTACAGTACAGGAGCGGATCCAAGAGAGGCTACAGAGGTGTAAGTCATCTTTACTAACAACAACAAAATTAAAATTTATTTGTAATTTATAACTGATTTTAAAATCATTTATGATAGCAAATACAGTTTATCTGACCATCCGCATTACAATTGTCATGCTCATATTAACAAAAAGTACTGTACTTATTAATTATTCAAATATTTTTAATTTTTGAACTAGCTCCGTTTGGGTTCTGGAGCTTCTAATAATGATACAAAAATGAAAACTAAAATGACGCAAGTGCAGTAAAATGATGTGATAATGAATTTTAATGTTTTCAAATGTGTTGTAAGTTACATAAGACATGAAAAAGTGAGGAAAATCGAATACCATTAACAATTCTCTGGGTGATCTTATTATTTCGGATAAGGGAGCATAATGCAGCAATTTAGAGAGTGATCTATTAAGTGAACTCTACTGAATAATGCATTTACGAGTTTTTAAAATCTGAACAAAGTTTATAAGAAATTTATGTTTCTATTAAAATCGTGGAAGTTTATAAAATTAATGTATTGTATAGTATTGATATCCACATGAAAAAAAAAATAAACTGTCAGGCGCTATATTATCTACATAACAATAATTTCTTGTTATTCATTTATAATCTTATCTGTTCAATAATTAAATATTTTCGTTTTAATTCATGGCATAATTTGTAATTTGTTTATATGAAAGTCAGTTTTACATATACAACATATCTGGTGTGAATTTACGTGATAATTATTCTTTTGCTTAAAACGTGCAATTACTTGTTTAATTGTCTCAAGTAGAAATGAGAAATGTACTTAATTCTGAAAATCTAAACTATTTTATTAAATTTAAATACGATACGTACAGTAGAAGTTCGTTAGTCCGACACCTTTCGCCAATGTAATTCAGTAAACTATTCACAGTCTATATTGTCACGTGCTGAAATTACTGTACAAAGCACACGTATTTTGTGTTCAGAACGTGTGTGACTGATATATTTTCTTTTTCACAGGCAAATGCCAGGACAGCGCACTTAAAAAACAGGTTTCTCACCTTTCGGAGCACCTGTAGCTTTTGTGAATCATGTATAGTACACAGTACATGTCTGAAAAATAAACATTACATTACCTTCAACGGATTCTTAGATTTTTTAAAGGATACATTTTCTAAAAATGAAACTACGAATACGTTTTTTCTTAGAATTAAAATAAAATGTAAATTTTTATAAGGCAAATTTATTGGAATTTGTTAGATTAAAACAATTCATATAAGAAGCAAATTGAATTTTTTCCACACTTTGTTCAATCAAAATCTTGTACAAGAAAGAAATCAGTGTATAAACAGAATTGGATGTAAATTATTATGTACAGTACTGTACATGAATTATTGTGAATGCCGATTTTATGCAATAACGTACTCATAAATGTTTTTTTCAGGTTTTCTAATCTAATTTTAACACAGTATAGGCATGTATTGTATTATCTTGTGACTAATTAGAGCAAGCGTAAATAAATCGAAATTAAATAGCAGCGTGTACAGTACAGTAATGTCAAATCGCATAGAACTTATAGAATTTTACGAAAGAAAACAAAACGTCCGATGATCCGTAAATGGTAAATTAACGAACGTTTACTGTATTATAAAATGTATAAAGTTACCGAAATTCATAAATTTATATTTTAAATCAAATAATTAGAACTGTTAGAAATGTCTACAACTAATTACCGTTTCTAAATATAAGAATATTTTAATTTATTATTATTATTATTATATCAGAATTTCATATAGGGATTTTATATGCTGTTTGGACAACTGTTAGACATTTATATACTGTGTCTGTTTCACAAATAACGTTTGAAATGATATGTTATACGTAGGAGTTTTTTTCAACCTCCGTTGATCCATAAAACAAAGACAAACGTAAATAACAAAATGAATTTATTACCAAAAGTTAGGTACAAATACGGTTACTTTTCGACATAATCACCGTGAAGATTGAGGAATTTGTCATATCTGTAAACGAGCTTTGCAATCCCCTTTTTATAGAATGTTGCCGCCAGTGACTTCAGATGGGCCTTAACGTTGTTTTGAAGATCGTCATTAGTCTCGTACCTCTGCCCTCCTAGCCACGTTCTCAGTTCAGGAAAGAGGTGGATGTCGCTCAGCGCTAAATCGGGGCTATACGCTTGGTGTTTAAAAAGTTCCAAGTTGGATGGAAGTCTAAAAGGTCTTCACACATTAAAGGTGTGTGATGAACTAAAAAAAATGGCTAGGAGGACAGAAGTTCGAGACTAATGACGATCTTCAAAACAACGTTAAGGCCCATCTGAAGTCACTGGCAGCAACATTCCATAAAGAAGGGATTGCAAAGCTCGTTTACAGATATGACAAATTTCTCAATCTTTACGGTGATTATGTCGAAAAGTAACCATATTTGTACCTAACTTTTGGTAATAAATTAATTTTGTTATTTACATTTGTTTTAGTTTTATGGATCAACGGAAATTGAAAAAAAAAACGCCTACGTATAACATATCATTTCAAACATTATTTGTGAAACAGACACAGTTATGGCATATGATCATTCCTTAAACCATTAAAACTGAATTTAAATATATACATATATTTTTCATTTTTTGTATCCTTTCGTCTTGTGGTCACTAAAAGGATGTAATCTTTTAGTGACCAAAGAGTTCGTCACCTTTTTCCAGACCCATCGTGGGTTCGGCCAAGCCCACATTGAGACAGACGGGTAATATAAGGATAATCATCCATGAAAAATTCTTATGGTTCTCTTCAAATTCGATCTCGGGTCTTCTAGAGTGGAAGGCTGACGCTCCTTACCGCATTCGTCCGGCAATGAATTTGTATTGTAAGAAAATTATCAACATCATAATAGAGTTATTTAAAAATAACTAAACAAAAAGTTCGTTGACATGTCTCAAACGATATGAGAATACCAAGAGGAAATTTTTAGAACTCGTGACTATAAAATTAAATTTCAGAATGATTTTTACTATTTTCCGGTTTCGTTTAACTAATCAACACGTGCCAGTTTTTTTTTTTTTTTCAAAATTTTAGACATCTTTTTTGTAACGGGCTTGACCGTGTCAACGAACCTTTTCATTTGTACTTATTCAATTGCAATTTTGTCACGCGAAAGATCTTTCCACGCACAAATACATTTGTCATGGCATTAACTTGTTTAATAACCGAAGTCACTCATGAAGACACATTTTAAATTCATATTCTTGACATTATCTTTCAAAGGTTACGAAGCACATTTGTTTTAAGTCAAGAAAATCCTGCTTAAATGGACGTTTTGAGGAAACTTTCTCTTTGAAAATGTAGTTATTTATGCAAATATTAAGCTTTCATATTAAAATATTCCTTCGAATTCTTAAGTTTTCTGCTATGTTAATATTAATGTGATTAATTTTCCTTCTTACTATTATTATTTTCGTAAACCGAAAAGGATTTTAGATACATTAAAATTACATTAACCAATACAATGTAACTATTGTTTGATATAACAAAGAAAAAATATGTTAACCTATAAAATATTTAAACGAAGATAAACAGATAAAAAATTTTAATGTTTTATAAACTTTTATGTAGGGTTAATATTAATGTGATTAATTTTCCTTCTTACTATTATTATTTTCGTAAACCGAAAAGGATTTTAGATACATTAAAATTACATTAACCAATACAATGTAACTATTGTTTGATATAACAAAGAAAAAATATGTTAACCTATAAAATATTTAAACGAAGATAAACAGATAAAAAATTTTAATGTTTTATAAACTTTTATGTAGGACATTTAAAGAATAATGCTTATTTACAGAATATAAAATTCAAGGAGTGTATTATATTTGTTTTACAGTAAAAAAAAATATAATAAGAATAAATTTAACATTTCAAATACAAATTTAAATAATGTATAATAAATAATATATCAATAGAATACACGAAATTGAAAATAAATAAATATACTTAAAAACTATTTGGTTTTATATATTCCCATTTTAAATAATTATAACATGAACTGTAACTGGAGCAAACAAACAAAAATTAAATAAGATTAAAGTACCTTTTTCACCTATTTTATAAATTATCAATAATCAATAAAACAATTCGGAAATAAAGAAATTTTTATATAAATATTTTATTTATTATTTGCATTAAAAAAATATTAAACAAAATATAGATTTTGATCGATGGCTAACATTAGAATAAAGGAACAATAAACGTAATTTTTAAATTTATATTTAAAGGAATAATTAGTAAATGTTATTACTGTATTCTTAAATTAATTTTGTTAATATAACAATAATTTTAAATGACCTCTTATGAAATTTTTTTCCATAGATTTAGAGAAAAATAAACAGCAATAAATATTTTTATATCAATTCTTAAATATTAAACTAACGATTTTATTAATGAATTCTTTTAAAAGAAAAACATTGCAACAAATCCAACTTATATTGATTACAGAGTATATTTTTAAACAGTTTGCTAATAACCTATATTTTATTAATGACTCTAGTTTCTAAAATTTATGTCACAATATTAGTTTAAAAAATTTTACAATTATCTAATTAATTATATTTTTATTGATCACTAATTTTTCATACTATTCCAGTGATATCATTAAAGAAATAAAAAAAAGAAATGTCCCGAACTGATATGGCTTTCTAGTTACACTTTTACTTGGCCATATTGCCCATACAGTTAAGACGTCAGTTTATCGTTCTTGGGTCCGGGTTCGAATTCTAGACGGTCAAATAATCCCAGGAGTTTTTCCTGGATGGACTGTCCCGGATACATAATGTCGCCGGACAAGTCTAACAACTCTCATTATGGTATGATTTAGAAGGCTTTTTTTTTGTTTTTTTTTTTTATCCCCCGGTTGGAATAAATAAAAAAGTCAAACTGCCATTCAGTTTAAATAGTTATTTTGTAAAGATTACGAATTATCTAACTCATTTGAGAATAATTGCAGATGGGAAAGTTGCTGTCAGATTCTTTTGTTACTGTTAATGCCAGTAATTTTTCCGTTTTTGTTTAAATTGAAATGCTGTTCTTAACAGTGTTTGAAATCCGTGTTTATAGATGAATCTTATGCCTAAGTATTAAAATTAATATCATGTATTAATGTTAATACTTAGGCATGTTAATACTTAGGCATTAAATTAATTAATGTTAATGTTATATATAATATCTTAAATAATGTTTTATATACGTTACTGCTAATTTTAAAACGCTATATCTTAACATTAGTTGCTTATAGATATGAATAACCATAATCAAATACAATCAATTTTGAAAAATGGAAAAAGAAATTCATAAAATTTAATTACGATAATTTTAAAATTTATTACTATTTCATAAGTTAAGGGAAATATTTCGAAGAAATATCTATTTAATAATTTTGTTTATTTAAAAAAATATTTTGTTATTAAATTTTTTGAAGAAATTTGACAGCTCACTGGTCCTATTTTAGTTCGCGTGAGAAAAAGATCATGGTGCAGAAATTGTATTCATTTCATGTTTACGGAAATATTAAAGATACAGTATATCGCTTGAATAAATCTGTACAAACAATAATCCGAAATGAATAGAAGTCAAACTGAAGTTTATTTTAATATAGGCAAGCTACTATTGATAATATATTATTTATATTTAAAAGTCCTGATTGAATCGTGCATTAATGTCAAACTAATATAAAATTTTAATGTTATAAGTAAGTTACTTGTAATTTTTTATTATAATATTCGTAATATTTTTATAAATAGTAAAAAATATTTTTTTTTTGAGTTTGTTGCGTTATTGAATGGATTCAAAATTTTATACATATTTATAGAAATTTCATATTAAAATTTATTCAAACCGTATTATTATTTTTTTAAAAATTGTTTCTGAATGTCTCTCTGTAACTAACTTGCATGCAAACATTCATGCATCGTTTGAAATAATGATAGTTTTCTTCCGGTTTTTTCTGTAAAAGCAAATATTTTCTTTTTAGGAATATGAAGTGCAATTACGTACATCGAGGTTTGTCTTCGTCATTCTCCAAGCTCGGATATCATATCGGCTGTCATCCACTCTGGTTCATCTTTATTCCCCTGATCTTCACTGGAATATCATCGATGGGGTTTATAAGCATAAAATTTGTAACAGACATAGAGTATCTATATACACCGATAAATAGTAGAGCATTAGCAGAAAGAACGATCATTGAATCTTTATTCTCTTCTAATTTAACAGCTGATTATGATTTCACCCGAGATACGAGACTTAGAAAAGTTGGTTTTCTTGTTTTTATAGCTAAAGATGGAGGTTCGATGTTGAGAGAAGAGATAATGGATGATATTATTTCGGCAGACAATTTAGTGAGTAACATAACTATATTTGTGAACAATGTAACTGTTTCTTATTTCGATTTATGTTGTAAAAATAATGGAAAATGCTATCAAAATGGAATATTACGTTTAAAAGGAAAAATAAATGATATTAGAAACAACAAAACGAAAGTAAAGTAAGTATTATTATTTTATTTTAATACAATTTTCAGATATACACTAGAAGGTCCATAGAAATGGTAAAGGCCAAAATCCTTTTTGACAGCAAGCAAATCGGGTATTGATTTCTTCTGATGGAAGCATAATTTGTTTTCAAATCACTATCCAAAACACGCAAATTAAAGTTTGGAATTTTGATTTAACTATTTATATAGTTTAACATTATTTTTTTCTCTTTTCAACAGTGCTTTTGTAAACAATGATAATTTTGCAATATATACCGAACCTCACGCATTCAACTTGGGAAAAATAACGTTTGATGAAGATGGCTATTTGAAAGACGTAAAGGCTATTCGCTTGTTTTATTTTTTAGACGATAGTACAGTAGAAAAGCTGCACAAGGCTGAATTATGGGAAAGGACATTTTTGGATGTTGTATCTAATTTGCATTATTCACACGTAGATTTATCTTATTTCACTAGATCTTCTTTCGATACAGAATCCAATCGACTAACAGAGATGAGCGGTCCATTATTAATCATTATCATACCTATAATGGGCTTCTTTGCTATAATATCGACTATGACAAAAGATTGGGTAACGAGCAAACCAATAGTTGGAATTTCTGGATGTCTTAATTCTTCTTTTGCGGTCATCACTGCTTTTGGAATATTGTTATGGTACGGAAGAGAATATGTAGACATCAATATAGGTATACCATTCTTAATGCTAGGTAAGTATATTTAATCATTATGTATACATTTAATACAATAATATCTAAAATTTAAAAATATTCTTCTAGGTATTGGTTTGGATGATTCATTCGTGCTACTTGCAGCTTGGAGACGTACAGATCCGAAATTACATGTGTCAATTCGAATGAAAGAGACTTATTCCGATGCAGCAGTCTCCATTACAATTACCTCTCTTACAAATTTTGTTTCTTTCTGTATTGGTATGACTACACCTTACAGGATTGTCAATATATTTTGCAACTACATGGCCATAAGTGTCCTCTTTGATTTCATTTACCAAATTACATTTTTTGGAGGATGTATGGCTTTGTCTGGTTATAGAGAAAGCAAAAATCTGCATGCAGCATTTTGTTTTCCTGTCAAGACGGAATTCCCAAAAGGTGAGCAAATTTTTTGTTTATTTAGAATGTAAAAAATTAAAATAATAATTAAAATTCTACAGAATTTTATCTGGTAATTTTCACAAAATAATTTGACTTTATTTGTATTTTATAGTTAATTACCTTCATCATCTTCTTACATATGGAATTGCAAAGAAAGAAAGAAAACCCGAAGATAACTATGGAAATTCTATAATGCTTTTGTACAGGGATGTTTTAGGAAATTTCTTATGCCAATCTTGGGCAAAAAAATTAATTATGTTTGCAACTTTCATTTACTTACTCGGTGCAATATATGGTTTACAATTTACTAAAGAAGGATTAAGATCACAGGATATCTTCCGTTATAACTCTTTTGGAGTAAAATATACAGAATGGCATTATAAATACTTTACTCAATATCCTCATAGAATACATGTCGTCATAAATAGTACATTGGATTACTCGAATCCAAAAGTGCAGAAGCAAGTAATGGAATTTGTTGAGAAATTTCAGAATTTATCTTCCATTGAAAGTGATTATTTTACAGAATTTTGGTTAAAGCATTACCTAAAATTCATTCGGAATAAAATATCTTGGTTTTCTCTATCTGGATATAACATTAGCAATTCTGATGATTTTATAGAAGGTCTCCGCAAAGTTTTCTTAAAATTACCATGGGCTAAACATTTAAAACAAGATATTATATTCAATGAAGATGGAAAAAAGATTATAGCATCCAGATTTTTCATACAAAGCGTTAATGTCAGTACTACGAATGAAGAAAAACAATTATTAATAGATTTGTGGAAAATAGTTGATTCTTCAAACTTTAATGCTTATGTTTACCAGTTTTGGTTTACTATTATAAATCAATATATAGGAAGCACTCCAACAACCATACAGACTCTGTGTATAGCCGCAATATTGGTTACTATAGTGTTCTTTGTTTTCATACCCGACATTATATGTGCAATATGTGTGGCGCTTACCATAATTTCTATCGAAATTGGAGTAATTGGATACATGTCTCTGTGGAACGTCTCCATTGACAGCATTTCCATGATCGTCTTGGTCATGTCTACAGGATTTTGTGTAGATTACGCTTCGCACGTGTCTTACGCGTATATAAATTTTCGCAGCGAAAGCCCTAACGAAAAATTAAAAAATGCATTATATACAGTGGGTCATCCAGTTGTTCAAGGATGCGTATCCACAATGTTGGGTGTTTCAATATTTTATTTTGGAGCTTGTCACATTTTTATAATATTTCTTAAAATTATATTTCTTGTTATGTTGTTTGCTTTAATTCATGGTATTTTCGTACTTCCAGTTGTTCTCAGTATTTTTGATGATTTATTTAAATTAATAAAATATAGAAAAAAAGAAACAGAACTTCAGTAATACAACAATGAGAATTTGTAAAAATAATTTATAACTGATGAATTTAAGCAAAAGTGAATATCATAATATTTTTTAAATATTTTGTACCTGTATACAATATATATTGTTATTCGACATACTTAATGAGATTAAAAATATTAAAAGAAGAAAAACTGAATAAATAATTTTCGAATTAATGACGTAAAGTTAAATTATTGATGTAAACAACTTTAATAACTAACTTTAAATTTATATTAGGGTTTCTCATTTCCCGGTCTTTTGCTTGTCCCGGGATCCCGGGATAAAAGTGAACTGTTTCCCGGGATCCCGGGAAATCCCGGGATAGAATTAATTATTTTTAAGGTATACAAAATATCTTGAAATCAAATGATATAATTATTTTCCATTTTTTAAAGTAATTTTAAAGTTTTGTAACCTCCAAAATCATATTAATAATGCTGTGTTAGGTCTATAGGCCTATAATAAAAATTACCTTTAAATAACGTAGAAATTTTCACAAATAGAAAAAAATTAATTAAAGTTTGCTGGAAACTGCATACAACAACAACAAAAAAAA